TGGCGGAAGTTCTGATTTTGGCTTGACTCCGCATGACGGCTGGATTTATCTCGCACGGTAGTTGCTGCACTGTTGCTGCACATCTCGGAGCCAGGACACTGCGCCAAGATGAGGTCGAGCCGCTGAAAGACGTGGCGAAGGAAAGTGTCCTGTGACACTCACAGCATCAATCTGTCGGCTCGAAATGCGACGGGGTGGTACCACAGTAATTTCTCGTGGTCGACATGCACCTTCGGGTTTAAAGCCCTGTGGCTTGAGTGAGAGTGACAGTCGCTCGCATGGTTCATGCCTAAGCAACACCAGCACCACCGTCACCACCACGACGACGACGACTAATGCTACGAGTACTTGTGGCTCCCACTTGTCAGCGTTCGACGGGGCCTGCTCTGCAGGTACTAGGTAGGCTACTGAGGATGAAGCACTGTCCACAATGTCTGCTCAAATTGATGTATACGTTCCAACTACCAGATATGCTACGAGTACTACTGCTCCTGCTAATGGTACTCCGACACTACGACGACGAATACTACTACTACGACGACGACTACTATTACTAGTGGTTCTAGTAGTGCTAGTCTGCTGGTCTAGTCTGCTAGTACTAGCACTACTAGTAGTCATGATTCTGCTATGAAGGCCTGAAAACTGCCGAATCGGAGCCCGCCTCTGGTGCGGACCCCCCCAAGGCGCCCAAAGCTTCGTGGAGGATGCAATTCACGTCCAGATACCTCGAAGACCCCGTTTTGAACGTGTATGAACCCGCAACGTATTCCTACTCCCCTAAAGTTTAAATGCTTCAGCCTAGAAGTGAGGTGACCGATAATCGCGAAAAGAAGACGGACGATAGCAAGACTAGTAGCACGTAGTAAGAATAAACCAAATCTCACAAACATCAAGCATAGCCCGAGCCCTCACACGGCCGCAGGCAGGGTTGTTAATGCACAAAGAGCCACCAACAACTTCGCGACCGAGAAGCACATGCTCGGCTTGGAGATCTGCCTGGCAAGCCCCAGTCTTGGATCCCTCTGAGATCGAAGACGAAGGATGAGAGGTAACTAGGTAGCTTGGTAGAAAAACAGACAAATGCTTGCGTCACTGCCCTTGTGAGCATTCCTTTCCAAACTCCCATGAAGCATGCGAAGCCATCAGTGTGCAACGTGCTAACACCTGCCTCCAGCGCAAATGCATCCGGGAAGGTGCTGCGAAGCCATTGTGTCAAGCGCGGTATGCCCATGACGGTTCCCAGCACCAAGTCCCGAAGAAATCAGGTTTTGAAAAATGCACTCTCGTTTTGAATCTCGTGACCGGTAGGGAGTAAGTTGACAGTCGTCGGGGGAGTCGGAGCATCGATTGGCCGCCGGCTATTTCGGACTTGGACGGCTTTCTCGAGCATCCAGAATCAGCACAGTTCGAAGTGCAGCATGATGCCAAACCACTACTGTAGCAGCACCAAGCAGCAGATGCGGTGCACGACAGTTTTGGGGAGCAATTAACTTTGCCAGCTGTTGGCCTTGAAACCACAGCCATTACCTAAACATGCTGCATCTGCAGCATATTGGGCATATAATCTTAACAAACAAATTCTTCGAGGTGCCGGGGCCTTTGGCAACCCAGGAACCGAGTCAGCTTGCCTGCTGACCACCAGGCAGTTGCTGTTGGCATTAGCAGAATGCCCTTTTCGGGCAGGAGTTCTTGCCATCACAGGCGGCAAGAACTGCATAAGTCTTGGTAAGAAACCCTGGCTCTTGTCCAAATTCTGAAGCACTATGTTGCTCCCTTGCGTTCTTCGAAACAGTGTTGTGACTGCAGTCTTCGACGAAGAAAGAAGCCGCCCCTTGCAGTCTCAGGTCATGAAAGGCGATCTGGGAAAAATCAAAGCAAAACATCCGAGTAATTACTTGCAACATCTTCAGTGCTTCGAGTCCTCCTACCTGCATGTAGCTGGGTCCTGTTTGTGCACTGATTCGGCATCCAACCTGCACGTCCAGGGGCGGCAAGGTAGATGGGAACCAGTGCGATAACACATTATGCAAATTCTAAGCGCCGGGACATTGCATTGCAGCAGCAACTCAAGGAAACACGATGACAATGAGACTGATCATGCACAAACTGTTTAACGACAGCAGAAACAAGTATGTACTCGCACAGCTTTGGGCCGTGTTAAGCAACAAGCAATCACGTCAAGCAGGAGGTCGTACCCCAATCCAGCTTGTGACGGTATACTCGTCCTGCCGAAACAACAAGATTGTGTGTACAACATATACATATATATATATATATATGTATGTTTACGCATACCCAGCTGACCAAAGGAAAGCAGAACATAGGGATTGACTTTAGCTTTTTTAAAACTCTGACAGTTGATGAACAGCTGAGCACCGTCCAGAGTCCAAAATCCTAAACCCTCAATTCACAAGAATTGAAGATCATAGAGTCTGTGCATCCAACGATTCCAGCCGCCCATTATACACGTTCACAGTGCTCCAGTGAAACCTTGTTAAGATATACTGCTAGCTAGGCGAGTGCGACCAAGTAAGCAGCAGTGGCAGATGTTGGTAGTACTGCTGATCATGCGAGGTCGCCAACTGCTGACGCTGGGACAACCCATCTTTGCAGCTCCAATCATTGGAGCAACCGTGGTCTACGGAGTCTGCTATATGTGCATTCCAGTTTCCCCGCCTTTCGCCTTCGCTAGAGCTTGATGACCTCTTGGGAGTCAGAGAAGTCGTTGGCAATCATCCACCGCAAGCATCGCACAAAGAGCGGAAAGCTCACCTTGCAGCAAGCCATGAATATCCACAAGCAAAACGGTGTGTAGTGCTCTCAGCAACCAGCCCTGTACTGTAGCGTAGAACTAGAAGCTCCGCAAACCTTCAAAATGGTGCTCTCGGATTCTGCCTCGCGGATGCAAAACCTACACCACTTTCCGCGCGGTACGGCCGCGGAATCTGCTCGCTCCAGCAAGAACCCTCTTGACTTGACTTGAGGCATTATTTATTTTGGTCATGGAAGGCCGGCATAAGAAGGACGTGTGCGCCTCACGAAGCTCTGCGTGGATGACACCATCCTTCACAATTCACGTATCTGCAGCAAATCTACGGCACACTGATCAATGCTCCACGCGATGCTACTTTCCAGAAAGTAAGAACTCCTCTCCCTGTTAGAGTGGCTCTTTGCCAGCAACTGGCGGTCCCGAGCTCGACAGCTTCCCCCTTCTGCACGGACACAAGACCGAACATACCAACACTGCGCAGAACCCAGAACGTAGCAAGGGGTCCGGATCGTTCGTCATCGGAAGGGATGCAACTTCGTGTAGCAGAGCGGCGTCACCTTAGAACTCGTGCAAACCACTATATCATGATTTTTTTGTCACTCGTGCTCCTATATCATGCATGTTGTCTTGTCTCAAGACTTTTGCCGTTCCCTTCTGAGCCAGCCTCAATAATGTCAGAGGCCCCAACTGCTGTATCTGTCGGTGTGTGTGTGTGTGTGTGATCTGGACATGCTGTGTACCACAACACGGATGTGTTGATCCGTCTGCATGTGCGTGTTTGTGTGCATGCATGCGTGCGCGAAAAACTAGATCAAAAGAGCAGTCAGCAAACAACAGCATAAACACAAGCCGAACACATCAATACCTGGTATATATTCACACATGCATATATGTACGTGTGTACAACTCACTACCTACACATGTGTACACAGAGATAGTGGGGAGTATCCATGGCAATGACTGAATAAATGCTATTTTTCCCTCCTACCTAGCAAGGACGAAGCCCGCATTGCAGGGTGTCTCGGTTGAACAGTTGACTACAGCCAGATGTTTCAATGCTATGAATATGGGCCTTCGTGTACGATCTGCTTCTGCACGCATTTGATCATGTGATGCTGTGTCTGCATGTTGCACACACTCACATACTTTTTCTGGCATACAAATAGTAGTATCTCCAGATAATCAGCAGTACATGTTCTAAATGCAAAAGCCAGTTGGCCTGGTGCCTGAACGTCCCTGAGCGCTGTCAAGAGCCTGGGCAAAGGGTGACTTAATCATTTATGGTGTTTTGGGCTTTTGGGCGCTTCGGCAATATTCGGTGTTCAACATCCTTTGTCCGGGCGCAGGCTGGGGCTCCGAGGGTCTCGAGAGGAACATCACACCAAAGCACCTACTTGGTTGCCACTCGCTACAGTTCCCTCATGTGTACTCGCAGGCCTTGCGTGTCTTAACCGAGTCTTAACCTTTTCTTTGGCCGAGGTTCGTTGAAATCCAAATAGTTGCATGTGCTCACACTGTCGGACTAAGTATCAAAGCGAGGCTTGCAGGCTTGAAGATTCTTCGCCCTCATCGGAGCGACACATCCTCCAGACGTTGTCATCCTCGTTTGTTTCTCTATACCAGCATGCCATCAACATCCAGGTCGTCGTATGGCATGTGCAGAAAATTGGCCCTTCATTTTGGCTTGGACTTCTAAACTGTGCTACCACTGCTACTATAAGATACTACTGTCAGCGTGGCTACCAGCCACTACCACAACTCCTCCTCCTATCACTCTTACTACTGATAATGAGAATAACATTAACTACTACATATTACTACTACTCCTCCTCCTGCTGCTGTTGCTGCTGCTGCTGCTACTTCTGCTACTACTACTACTACTACTACTACTACTACTACTAATACTACTCCTACTCCTACTCCTACTCCTACTACTTCTACTCCTACTCCTACTCCTACTCCTACTCCTACTCCTACTACTACTACTACTACTACTACTACTGTACTACTACTCACTAACAAGAACAAGAACAAGAACAAGAACAAGAACAAGAACCACAACAACAACAACAACAACAACAACAACAACAACAACAACAACAACTACTACTACTACTACTACTACTACTACTACTACTACTACTACTACTACTACTACTACTACTACTACTACTACTACTACTACTACTTACTACTTTACTACTACTACTACTACTACTACTACTACTACTACTACTACTACTACTACTACTACTACTACTACTACTACTACTACTACTACTACTACTACTACTACTACTACTACTACTACTACTACTACTACTACTACTACTACTACTACTACTACTACTACTACGACTACGACGACTAGTACTACTACTGCTACTGCTACTGCGATCAAATACTTTTACTACGAAGACTTACCAAGACGAACCAATGACCATCCACTGCCACTGGTACATATGAACTTCGAAGCATGCAGGATAGAGTGCATCAGCCGGGCAGCTTGCGAAGATGCTCAAGGTCGGTGTCAGACAACCTGCGTGTCAGACATGTTCCGACAGGGTACAGAGCTGACCACTCGAAGCCCAATGGGTTCGCAGAGCGTTATAGAGCATCTACGACGAAAACCATGCATTGTGTTCACATGCGGGAATCTTTCAGCTTCCACGTCGTGCTTCGCATCCATCGACCAACGAAACCCGCGCAACGCCCGCCAGATCCACTTCTCCGCTTCAATGAGACCACCCGACCAACATGCAGGCACAGACTGCAAGCAGGCTGCCCTCTGGCAGCATTCCCTTACTTTCTGAGGGGTCCAATCAAGGACCCATGCAGTGACGAGATGATGAGACCGTGCTCTAAACTCCCAGCCACACGGCTTCATAGAAGCCAGCAGCCATGGTTAGCATAAACTGAGTGGCGCTCTGTTGAAACAACTTCTACACGGGCAGTCCCACCAGACTCCAACGACCCTGGTGCGCGGACACGAATGTTACAAGACTGCACACTGCAGCCCTCAGGCGCCTGGAGTTCATTTGCTTGAGAAACTCGCAGAAGCTGTCAACGGGCAGAGTGGCCAGCTCATTGAAGGCCTTGCCGGCTGGTGCATCTTTACATTGGGCAATTCGGGACATCCAAACCAGCGAAGAGGCAAGGCCTTCAAGAGGTCCTTCTCGTTCTTGGCCTCCTCGTTTTTTTCTTTCGCCTCCTCATCTGTCCTGAAGCGAGCGTGAAGCAAGAAATGCCCCTTCGGTCTTGACCTCTTCAATAAACATGTCGTCTGCGTCTCACATTATGAGGTAACCATTGAAAGCCAACCCGGCGTGCAGCATGCGAAAAAACATGCGCATGCCACGCATGCCTACAGTATGTCCATGCATCGACGTTCGATGCCAGATGCCTTCTGGCTTTGTTTTGTTTGCGAAATATCTAGGTCAGAATCTGTGCGGGAAGGAATGAATAATGTAGGCATACGGGAATCGTGTTCCATGCTGATGAAACTGTACACCTTGTACAGATTGTGTTCTACGAAGGTATCCACATGCAAAACCTCGCCTATATGACTGTATGGAGTGAAGCCCTTCGTTGGTTGCTGAAAGCTTCAGGCATAGTCTGACCTTGTACGCGAGGGCAGTTCCCAGGTTCGAGTCTTGTGGACGTGAATCCGACAAGACTTTACATCAGACACGCAAAGGTCACGCGAAGAATATAGCCAACTGATAATGCTACCAGTAGCTTTCTAGACAAGTCTTTTGTACTAGCTGAGTTTGTTAAAAGCGACAGTTACACTAAAGCTTTTTTTCGGTTGCATCCGTGATTCAATTAAGTGCTGCTTAAAGTTGTTGTGCTACCTCTGCGCCGCCCACTTACTGTATTCAAAAACCAACCTCCTGAATTCGGCGTTGCGTAGATTAACCGATTCATCATTCATCGAGACACCGGCATACGCACCACCGACCCCCGACCTACAAGATCACATCATGGTTCAACTCCAGAAGTTCCCAAGGCACCTTGCAGCCCACAAGCAGAATGAGGAGTGTAGCTTCCTCGGCGCCCAGACGTTAAAACACTGTAGAATAGTGACCGTCGCTAGATATGAGCAACCCGTAGACAATTAACTACACAGTAGCAGCTGCTGTCGATAACCATGGGCATGACTATGACTACTGCTCCTGCTGCTGCAGCTGCTGGCTGAAAAAGGTTACTGCTGCTGCTGCTGCTGCTGCTGCTGCTATGACTACGAGGACGACGACGACTACTACTGCTACTGCTTTTTGAGTCACGGGCTGGGGCCGGACGTTGGAATCAAGCATCATATTGACGCAGCAGGCGGAAGGAAGCTGAACGGAAATCTGCTACTGCTACTACTGCTAACTTCTACTACCTCTACTACTACTACTACTACTACTACTACTACTACTACTACTACTACTACTACTACTACAACTACAACTACAACTACAACTACAACTACTACTACTACTACTACTACTAGCCCGGAGCCCCGCGGTGGACCCACCTTGCAAGATGAATAGGAATGTCCTTTGCTTGCTGCAAGTGCTGAAAGTACTGGTATTGCCGTATGTTTCCATACTTGAGTGCACTTGTCCATGGAATTGCCAAACCTCGTTTTGGGTGACCACCTCGGGTCTCCAAAACAGTCATTTTGGGCTTAAAACTGGCGTTTTGAACCACGCGGATGACGCCTTTTTTTCCTTACCCCTCCTGCGTGTCGCTGTGGCGCATGACGTCTTCGATCATACACCACAGGTCTTGCTGCGCATTCCAGTGCTTCCGCTGGAACTCACGGACCCGAAGCTCAACGGCTTTTTTGCGCTGAGCAGAAACCCCGTGAAGACTTTTCTTCATCCACGTCCACAGACCGTCCAGACCACAAGTACCGGCAAGCGCCTTCTTGAGACCCTTCGAGGGTAGCTTGTGCTTGCAGAACTTCGTTCACTGAGGTCCTCTGTTCTTCTGAGGCCTCGAATGGTTCACGGAATCCATCTTGGCACCCAAAGCATGCTTGAGAGCAGCAGGGTAAGCTTGTGCTCCGTCCACGTGCCAAATGGACTTAGGATGAATGTGCTTTCCTGCGAACCGAACACACTCACTCTTTGTCAGCGGCGGCGGAGAAGCCTTGCCGGAGGGTCTTCTGTTGCAGGAAGTGTCCCCGTCACGTTCTTGGAGAATTAAGGTCGATCTCTGACCTCGCAGCTTCATGAAGCCAGTGCCCTGCAGAGGCAGCGGCATTGCCGCAGAAGCAAAACTGCCGACAGGGCCACAGCAAGAAAAGGACTCATGGCTGCGACAGTGCATGCAGTGTTCCAGACGCATGCCGAACCGGACGTCATTAAGCCCCCCCCTCCCCCCCAACATCCAACATCATCTTCGTCATCATCGTCAGCATCCGACCAGTCATGACGAAACGTGGCTTCAAACATGCATGTTCCAGACGCATACCGAACCGGACGTCATTAAGCCCCCCCCCTCCCCCCCTCCCCCCCCCCAACATCCAACATCATCTTCGTCATCATCTGACACTCCCAACATCCAACATCATCTTCCTCATCATCGTCAACATCTGGCAGTCATGACTAAACGTGGCTTCAAACATGCAGGGGGGGTGGGTCCAGAAAGGGGCACCGGCCTACTACTACTACTACTACTACTACTACTACTACTACTACTACTACTACTACTACTACTACTAACACCACTGACCAGCACCACCACTACCCCTTCCACAACGACTACCACTCTTCCTACTGCTACTGCTACAGCTGCTAGCTGCTGCTGCTACCACTACCATTACCATCTCTGTCACCACAGCCATCACTTTTCGAACTGCTGCAATCAACACTTCTACCACTCCAAACTGCACAAGCGCAACCACTCAGCAAGGCCATGCGGCCATATGTGGTCGATGAAAGAAATTTTGAGTGCTCAGAGTTTATGGCAGCTGGCAGCGTCGCAACAGACCTCTTCGAGCAGGGATCAGGCAGTCTAAGCAAGAAACTTTCCTCTAATTAGTCTAATAATTGTAATGCAAGGAAGGCTCTTGATCTGTGGCTCCGTGAAGCCCAACCGCGCAGCCTCTTTCAAGCACGGCATCCAAAGAAAACGACGCCAGGGTACCACACTTGAACTCGATCCGATATACGAAGGTGCCCCTTCCTGCAACCTTCAGCGACCTTCGGTTGTCGGAAGATTCCTAGTCCAGGCCCGAGGGCGCCTCCGCCTCCTCCTCGGCAAGGGCTTTGGCCTCCTTCTCACGCTGGAGCAGTCGGCACATGTGCACAAACCTCGGATTCACAAAAAGCTCGGCGGCTAACTGGGAACTGTTGATGTGTGGAGGCATCGCAGTCTGCAAAAAATGGACAAGGATCACCCAGGTTCAAGCGAAGGCACACAGGAAAGCGCACGACCGCAGTGTTCATCTTGCCACCTGACTAAAGCAAGCAGACCGCCACCAAAGGGTATCCTTCTAATTCCCACATCTGTCACACTCTCGCGGAGCACAATGATGCACGAGCTGTGCAAACTGCACGAAAATGGGAAAGATCTTCTTCGTGCATCGACTCTGCCAGCGTCTGGGCACGTGGCATTGCACCGCATCCACGCCGCTCTCGGCTGCAGAGGCACGGGCAGCATTGAGAAGATTCATGAGACGCCTCAGAGATGCATGTCGCCGCCGCAGCATCAGCATCAGCAGCACGCGCAGCACAGACTTCTACCCATAGCCGCGGGCCACTAGCAAGAGTACTACTTTCACCTGCGACGGCTGCAATCACCTAACTGGAAATCTGTTGACTCCCGGACTACCGCCTAAAGATGCTGCTGCTTCTTCTCCTGGTGCTGCTGTTGTCGCTTGGCAGCGTACACGTCTGCAACGGCACCCACTAGTCGCTAGGCAAGAAAGGACAGGCTCTTTGCACTGTGGGGTGAACTTACATCATCAGCAGCTCCAAGGACTACAGAACACAGCACCTACTGCTACTGCTACTGCACGTGCTGCTACGACGACTACTACCGCCAACACTATTCCTCACTTAGTTTGGCGGCCAACCTGGCCTTACATGATTTGTGAAGCCCTAGCCATAATTAGTAGGGTTCAGAGCCCTGCAGCCACAGGTACTTCTGGTCATCCTTCGTCTTGAGCTCCTCGGCCGCAAGTATGCATCATCAGGTCTAGACGGGTTGAGGACACGGGTGCCTTGCCGTTCTCGGTCGGAACTACTTTTGGGCTGCCGCATCGCAAGCCCGCACCAGCACGGCACATTGGAACTGTTCGTACCCTTGGTATTTCTACCACTCGGTTATTCTAACTTCGGCGACCATGATCTGAACATGACACCGATGATTAGGGATTCGGCTTCAGACTGCGTGCCACAAGTTGCAGCTATTCCGAACGCCCTCCTCCACTACTGTTTATGTCATCGGTTGCCACAGGCCGGGATGGTTGATCTTCCTGTCCTTGTATTGCTTTCTGAGCGACTGTACGCTGTCAGACTTTTCGCGTTCTGAGAGCGTGCTTGCATGCACTCGCACTCCGAACTACAGCTAGCGAGAGCAAGCGTTGTTGCTCAGCTCTACTACTCATCCACTTCCAGATCACCTAGCAACCAGCTATGCTATTCTCTCAACGATGGCATATCCGACACCTCACTGAAGACGTGGTTGCTCTATTCGTGGCCCTTGCTGTGTTGGGTATTGCTTCCTGTACTCGTAGCGAATGTAGTTGCTTGCTGACGTTTCCCACATGCTGTTACTGTTGTGGACCAAACGGTGCCCCAAGATGAAAAGTAACCCTTGCCACATGTTTAAAACCCTGCGGAATGTGGAAAAGGCAGAAGAGACAGACAGGTCCGAATGTTGATGCTGGGAGGATTAGCAGCGGCTATTAGATGATTCAACATCAGGGCATCTCCAACACCCCAATCCACTTCTGGTTGAATGCTTAGCTCCGAACGCATGTGTGATCAGTGAGAAGTGTTTCTGCAGCTGGGGCGCCAAGCCCAGCGGCTTTAGCAAGGCACCCATCTCGTCTCGATCGATCCTTCTCAAGCAGTACAACCCAAGAAAACGGAAACAGCATAACACGGAACCAGCATCCATAAACGGATCTGGGGCATGGAAGGTAGCGACGAGACCAAAGTGCGCTGCCTGCCTAAAAAGCACGGGATCACGAAGAACACGAGAAGATTCCAAGAGCAAGAAGAGTGACGATGGTACGTATTGCAGGCTAGAGTGGCTCGAGGTGTTGACCTCAACATTTGGCAAGGACACGAGCTCGGAGATGTGGCTGCGGGCAAGTGACGCATCGCTGTGGTCGACATCGAACTCGTCGAAGGCCCTCCGGAAATCCCGAATCTCCTCTTCGCCATAGCTGGCCTGGCCGTGGACTCTTGGAGGACGTTGCAGCTCCCGCTCTGTCTGCCTCCCCACTCACCTTATGCTAATCACGCCCATGCTGCAGCGCTGCTGCTCGAATGTATGATGCTGTTGTCACGTCATGAATTCCGTCTCGAGAAGTCGTGCATCGGTGAGACGGGCTGATGGGCCTGCTTCCGGCTCTCAGCGAGTCGCAGCCGCCGAAGTTCATCCTGTGACGGCATCTCCCGTCGCTTCATATACACATTATCTACAGCAACTATCGTCGCCAGCGCGTGTCTAGGCTTCTGGTACGATCGGAGCACGTTACCGCTTGCACTTGCGGCCATGCAGCGATCAACCCTACAAGGTTGTCGAAGTCCACCTTGCCATCTTCCGTGTACCTATGGCATGGTACTGGGTAAGATCCTGTGCAACGGCTGGACTGTTCCAGTCAACCGACCTTCGTGCCGAGAAGTGGCTTTGGAGCGAGGCGCTTGAGCTCACGCGAGTCGGTCTGGATGTTCAGGATGTGCACTGGGATCATCAAGTCTTCCTAGGCACAGACATGAAGAAAAAAGCCCTAAAGCTGCAGGCGGTCCAGGAACGCTCCACTCTTGAAGACATATCAAAGCTGGAGCAGCTACGGAAGCTGCTGTGAACAACAAACCTAGATTCGCATCTGAAACTTCGCTGCTTCAACAAAATTTACAGCCCTCCTGCAACTGCACAAAAAATGTGTCGATCGTTCGAAGATCTGACTCTTCATCGGAGGGGCAGGCCGGATCGTGAGGCTCTCAGAGTCCTGGCTGCGAACTGCGCAACCGGATGTTTCAGCACATGCATAATTTTAAAATGTGGTCAGGCTCCGGACGCTCCAAGCTATAACATAGTCATATTCTGTCATGTGCCATGCAGATGCAAAGTTTGTCTGCTAATCTGGCAGCCAAACGAAGCTTTTGCAGCGAGGGGGCTTCAATCTTGGCGAACTCCTCTGCGGGCAGAGTCTCCTGATGAGGCTTATGAAATCCCGTCAAAGGTTGCAGCGGCTCCAGCTTGTTCCGCCTGGAGTGTGAGGAAGAAGGCCTCCTTGGCATCCGTCAACTCCTTTGTGGAAAGATTCGAGACAAAGAGGGGGGGTTCAGACCCCAACGTTTGGCGGACGTGAACAGAACCTGACCATGACTCTTGCCCCGTCCACAGGAATTCAAGAATATCCTTTGTCCTTTGCCGAGACACGCTCTCCCTTTGCAGGCGCATGAGGCGTAGGAACTCCTGCCGATGGCACTGGCTTGAAACCCCTCACTGACAGTCCACTATCGGAAGACCTGCCCGCTTTGTCCGGCCATCCTGCTTCAACTGCACTACGGAATCATCATCGAGAAATCTGCAAATACAGCTCGCACAAATGCGCCGTCACAAGGATCAGCATCCCACGGTTCTCGGGCTTGCACCATGCTTATCGAAACTTGGACTGAAGATGCAGCTGTCGCACGGTGCTGCTCTTCTGACCGGCTTGCGCTTACCCCTCGTACCCAAACACACTCAGCATACAGCTTCACTGATCGAAGCGAACGTTGTGTCCTTGAAGTCCACAGAGTGTGTTCCGTCCACATCCACCTGCAGGAGCAGGACGCTGACGTCACTGCACATGACCGCATAACTCGTCCACATGCTGTAGGTGCGATAAACCCAACACTCCTACATAGTCAAATCAATTAAACGGCAAAGGATGCGGCCCAAGCACGGGAGCACGATGCTTGCCGCCCCTAAAGCTGCAGTGCAATCATGATAAACATGCTGGTGCCTTGGCAACGAGCTGCTGAATCTTGCCTCGGCCGTGCGAAAAATGGCGAAGAAGCATCGCGGTCTTCTTACCTCCGATTGTCCCGTGCAAGCCTTTTCAAAGCCAGGGGGCGCAAGCTGACGTTGACGCCTCTGGATCTGAAGATGTCCAAGATCCTTGGGACACAAATGGGAGTTTCCGAAAATTAGGGGTACCTTATCTTGGGGTCCTTATAATAAGGACCCCCCTATTTTCGGAAATTCACAAATGACAAAGGAACGCAAAGGAGCGGAGGATTGCCGATGGTTTGAGGTTCCAGCGTGTTCCACGGACTCGGTGCAGAGTTAGAATCCGCCCGGACGGGCGAATTGTGGCCTAGGAGCTTGAATCATGCTGAGCGTCTGAATGGATGAGACTTCGCCATTGCTGTCCTTGTACCTGGCATGGCACCGTCATCACATCAAAGGCGTCGCATGCTTGTCTGTTGCACTCCTCCCGAATCTACCGCAACCTGCCTTCACATTTAGGCAGGACAATGTTAACTGGCGAGACAAAGATCGTGCTCGCCAGTAGGGTTAAAGAGGAACACTGTCAAACGGAGGAAGCTTTTTCCGCAGCAACCCCAGCAGCGCCTGTTGAACAGATTCTGCAGCTCCTCCGCCTGATCGCCAGTAAACCCATCCCACTTCTTGAAGTAGTCCATGACATCCAAATACCTCAGCTGCTACCTCCGGAAAACTCTACCTCCTAAGCCACCCCCTACAGCTCAAATCGGCTTAGGCTTGGACATGAATGATTTATGGCCATGCCTTATGGTAACCTTCTGCCGGAGTCAGCCATTCTTCCAAGCAGCTCTTCCAGGTTGATGGTATTGTCTTCGTCCGTGTCTACTGCCTGGAAAAGATCATCCACATTGGACCGCATAGGCCTCAGATCAGCCAACTGACCGCCTGGGTCTGCCAGTACTCTCTTTGGCATGGCAGTGCTTAACCCCCATGGTTCTTCCTGTCTTTCGGTGTGACTCGGACAAGCAAGGCCGCCCATCCCCACGGACTGCGCTCCCAACGTCTGGAGGGCCTTTTACAGGTATCTACGCACGAAAGGTGTTCTCCCTGCATGTCGGCCTGCACGGCCTTGGCGTGGGTGTGCACAAGTGTGTGGTGGAATGCAGCTGGGATCGTGTTGGAAGCACATGCAAGCCGCGAGGGACAGCCGTGCTTGTAAACTTAGATGTATATGCGTAGATACATCTGGTTGGAATGAAACCGTCGTTGCGATGTTTTTCCTGGCTGCCTTGGCTTGTCTTAGCGCGGTTTGGCCTGAGCTTGCATCAAATCGAAAACGCACTGATTCCATTGCGCTCTCGCAACACACTCATTTCATTAAGTTCGGGGCTTTGCGACCAACGGTACGTCGTTGGTACGGATTAAGTTTTTAGAGAAGCGATACAATTGCTGGGTGCCGTGTAAGCCGAGGAATGGCCAAAACCAAGCAAGGTACGTGTACCCCATCTCTGCCAGCAGCGTCTTCACCTCTGCACGATCCAAAACGCCGTCGCCGCTCTGGTCAAACTTTTTGAACCTCGTTTACCATTGCAGCTGCCCGGAAAGCATGATCAGTGCACGGGGTAGATTCGCCAAGGCTGTGTAAGACAAGAAGCTGGCGTACATATTCAGCAATCTCGGCTTCCTTCATGCGGCGAGACCACGCAGTAAACCTGCTAAGGCTGCAGGCAGGCAGTGTCGTAGAAGCGGCATGACACGTCGGGGACATGTTTCGATCCTTGTCTGACGAGCGGCTGCCGGAAGGTGAGGCCTGTGCCCCTCTCCTCGCCCAGAGCCGGTCGGATGCTGGCAGCAGCCAACTTCCAAGGTGATCTGCTCGTTTTCCTTAGCAAAATTCTCGTTAAAAACATGTTGCAAGTCCCGGCTCAAAACATGAGCCAAAGGCAAGCCGCATTATCTTGGATGTCGTCGACGACGCTAGACTCCTGGCTACAAAGAATTCGTTCGGCGTTCGGCAGGGCCAGCGAATCTCGATTGAGACAGGAATCGGAAGTTACACATCGGGCGAAATGCGAAGGGTAATATACTTTTGCTGCAGACTTACCTAATGGAACTGGAATATAACTAAGCTAAGAACAACAAATCGTGCATATTACTATACTGCAGGCCACAAAGGCTGTAGTCAAAGGCTTCTTTATTATAACCTCCTTCAATGTAAGACAGGGATTGCGAAGTGCCCGGGGATTAACCCCGTCCTGGCCAGCTCTGCCGCCTGGGCTCCGAACTCGAAAATCAGCGCCGCAGTGAGGCGGTGCTCGGGCACCTCTCGAACGGCTGCGGGGGTAGAACGAGTATATGTAGAATCATGTAGACAAACATAAAAATATAATATAGATGGAAGTACATATATATATATATATATATATATTTATTTATTTATATTTATCTATATTTGTCTATACGGGGCCCGAGTCGGCAGTAGTAAGAATCTCGAGGCCCCAGTGCCCAAATGCCATGGTCAAATGTGGGCACGCCATGTCGGCAAGAAGCTCCGCAAGAGCGACGAGTTCAGCCAGGACCTCCCGAACGGAGAAGATCCGTCCCTTGCCAAGATCTTTAAGAAGTTCCTTGACAGCGCGAAGGATGACTACAAGAAGGATTCCGACCAGAGGACTCCCGAGTGCGACGTTCGGAAGAACAAAGCGGCCATCGTCTCTTATGATGCAAGGGCAAGGAGTCCTCGGACAGCGCCACCTTCGCGGATCTGTGAAAGTTCTCGAAGGACGCAGCAGAGACGATCCACAAGTTCCCCGCTGAGGCCGCCGCCGACGAATTCAAGGTGCCGTGCCTCCCCGCGGAGTGTTGATCGAGCGCTTGTCCCGACGACGCCGCTGCAAAACACTCCGAGGCTGCATGAGCCCAAGAAGCTTAAGACCCGACCGGCCCGACAAGCTGAAGACCGCGACCGAGGTCACCAGGTCTTACTACGAGGCCTGCGAGGCCAACGAGCGGAAGGTCCAAGGAGCTGGACGCCCGAATGCTGCCCTTGGGCTGTCCGCCAAGACCGATGGGCGCAGCTGGGGTACGGAAGAGAGGCTCTACAAGTCCGAGGCCGTCGAATCCTTCTACAAGTACCTCCTCTGCATCTGCGAGACCGGGTACGAGTGAGAGAGCCTTCGCTGAGTGGAAAAAGAGTACCTCTGGGGAAGACTGCTGAGTTGATTGCCCCTGGGTGGTTTGTACTACTGCGGCACGGCAGTTTGTGGTGTTCGGGCACTGTAGAACTCCAGTTGCTGCAGTGCGTTGTCGCATCTGTCAGACAATTGGATTGGCTCAAAACGGCATGATCTGTGCATATCTGTAGTGCCTCAGTGCTCGTGTTTGGACAGTTGCTTCCAATTGGCATGGCCCAAAGGGTGTATACGCCGTCACTGTGCTTTTGGTGTGGCCATGCATGATGGGCTCCATGGGGATGCTGAGGAATACCTGCCGCGTGATGGCATCCATCGTGCCTGCCGCGCTTCTGAGCCCCGAGCGGAAGGATACGAGGCGCTTCAGGTGGGTTTTACTTACTTGCAAGCTAGGCCGCATCTGACATGGATCCCGTGCCCCCGGAAGCGAATATATACATACACACACACACAAAAAAACGAAAAACACTTACCTACTTGTGGCGCTCGTGCTCGACGAAGGCAGGCGAGGTTTAGGAAATGTAGGGCACAACACAAACATCCGCTCGTTTCGAGCAGCATACCAGACACACCTATCTACCTAGCTACCTGGCCACCTACATACATACGTGCATACGCGCATACATGTACACATATACATACATGTATGCATGCATGCACATCTATATGTATCTATATATACATATATATATACATATGTGTGTGTATCTTTATACAAACGTGCACACACACACACACACACACACACGCATACGCATTGGGACACGTTTATTATATATGTATCGGTGTCTCTGTGTATGCATCTATGTACAGAAAGCATGTATGCTCTGTCTTTATGGATGTATAATACTCATATTGACTGTATGTCATATATTAACGGTAGGTCCATTGTATCATGTCGCACTGCATACTATATTCGATGGTATGGTACTACATTGTATTAGATCGTGTTTATGTGCACATCTTTGTCATAACATATTATCTTACATGCCATTGCGTTACATTATTATCCGGAACGGAAGAAGTGTATGCATATGTCTATATGTATGTGTCTGTCTATGTATGTGGTTAAATATTACATTCTATAATGCTGTGTTGTGGCACAATTTTGTCATATCATGTCTGCAGTTCAGCAACCTACTGCCAATCATGACTGATAGCCTGGTCGCTCCGGAAGCTGAAAAGGGTTGCTCTACTGCATGATTGGACAGAAGTGTGCTCTTGCAACCATCGGAAGCTATGCCTTCCCAGTCACTAAAATCGCAGGTGGATTCAGAAGAAAACTGCTGCATGTGAACGCGAGTGCCCTTTGTAAAGTGTTTGGGAGGAGTACTGTGCTCAAGCGCCGCCGACGCCGCCGCGGCCCGGCCTTCTTCGTCTTGCTGTGCGGATCTTCTACTGCAAAACGGCAGAATGTCCGGTACAGCTGCCGCACTTCCTCACAGCAACCAAATCTTGCCAACACGAAACCAAATGGGGTGTAAAGACAGCATGTGGCAGGGAGTAGGGACCGCGGAGAGGCATGGCATCTAGCATGTCCGGGACTTTAACGTTCCTAATGTGACTTGGCTTTCTGTACAAGAAAACAGCGAGCACCCTCACACATGCACAAGTCCACCCAGGCAGTACAAACCAAGACATTCGTCCACACACACACACACACAGATGCAAAGAGTTCACATCGCATGGCGACGGAAGTTCTCTGTACCCCGTTCTGGCCAATATTTCCAAGACTGCCATGGCTCCTTGTGGCTGAATCCATCGGTCTGGCGATAAACCAGCAGCAGCGACAGGAACTCGTTGAAGTCCAGGGTTTGCGAATGGTCCACGTCCACTGCCTCAATGAGCCTTCCAGCAGCTACAGGGCTGGCAGTGAATTCTGAACAACGCCACCTCTGAGCCTCTGAACTGCAGGGAAAGCCGTTCCACAACAATTTCAATCCTTCGTCAGCCAGCACTGGCCTTTGGAGCGTCCCACGGAAAGGTGAGCATCCGATGGCCTGCGCGTCTGTTAGCACAGGTGATCTTCGACTTCAGCTATGCCCGCGTATGCAGCTCTGCGGTTGAAAGCCCGAAACCCTGAAGCAAAGGTACTGCCCGGCTGTCACACATTGCAGCATTGCATGTATCAGCACTCCTGATATGCTCGCTGCTGCTGTTGGTTTCGCACGAGTTCATCTGGATTAAAGATGCGGCCTCTCCCGAAAGACCAGAAAAGCAATTTGGGCCTTCACGCGAAGGTGAACATCCCGGAAGATAGCTGCTGGCAAGACGGCACGGCCTCCAACACCGCCTGGACCTCATTGGTGTTCAACTCGCCGGAGCCGTCTTCGTCAAATTCTTGGAAGACCCTCCTGCCGAAGATCGAAGGTCTTCACTTGACACAAGAGACCGTTTAGGAACCATGCGCTGTCTGGGTCCTTGCTTGCTAACTCCTTTCCGTGGTGACTATTTGTCTGTCATTACTTGTTCGGATTGCCGAGGGGCCCCAGTGGATACACCTGCCGCTGAAAAACACTGCCAAAACCAAACACGACCTTCCATTGGCGCATGCGTCCTGATATAGTCTCGCTCGTACTGGGTGTACTTGCCTTGGCGTACTGTCACGCTCATGTCTGTCAAGTGATGGATCATGAGCATCTTCGACCCTGAAGGTTTTCGCACGTGTCTGCGTTCCAGGCCACGGAGGAAGTCGTACAGCTCCTCATGCACCAAACAAAAAAAATTATCAACTACAGGTAGCTCTGAAGCTCGACCTTCTGTCACATCTGATGTTCTCTGATCCTATGCAGCTGTAATGGGGCAGTCCTGCTTCTCCAAGGCGCTGAAGGGTGTTATTTCCTTGACCAGCTTCTTGATCACGGCCTGAAGCTACAGATGCAAGCGCCAGCTCTGGCGAGCAGGCCAAGCGAAAAGAACCACGTGACCTTCGACATCCAGAACCCGATTCGTCAGGCACTCAGGCTTCATCGTGCTGGGCTTCCGTGACCCTACCCTCACGAAAGCCCCTAATACCCAGCATCCTTGATCTGAAAACGCCGCGATTCCTGCCAGGGCACCTCATCAATCGTCATGTAGAACAAAGACGTAAGAAGCTCGTACAGGCCTTGTGAGGTGAAGTCGCTGGAACTCTCGACCAGTTCTTGTTCAAGTGCAATGATCGATCAGAGGTATGTGATGAGGAGCACGCAAACTACAGGCGCGGGGGACGTGCGACAGGAAGCCCGGCGATGCACGGCACAGGTGCATACATTTGGTTCACCTTGTTTCGCGCAACCTTTCCATCAACAGTGAGGAACTTCAGCCCCTGCCCAAAATCTCGTTGATCATGATATATGTTCACACGGGGGAAGCCACAGCACAGTAAAAGGCAAGTTGGGAAGACGCACTGCCCAGAGAAGTCTCGAACTTTCAGAGAATCTAGGGCAGCACAGGCAAATCGACCTTGTGCAGTAATAGTCAGGAATCGAATGGACCCACGATGCAAGCAGCAGCGCACGGTCAATTGTAGCTTAGCATTGGCAGCTTAGGACATCTTAAGTCTAAAGACTGACCCACTGACAAGCATGGGCTTGTTCGGCCGAGTGCAAGCCGGGACACGATCCAAATGCACATCGCCTTGACCCTCGGTCTTGTAGATGTGGAACTGCTCCTCGACGGTGAGTGTGCAAGTCTGCTAGAGCCAGATGCCCGGCACCGAATTGATAATGCATTCCGATCCGCCTCTGCTTTGCGAAGCTCTTTTTCTGAAAGGCCAGGGCCATCCTCGGGCAAAGATTCATGAGGCGAACAGTTGACCTCAAAAGCCAAAGCTCGTAGACTCATAGATTTACTATTAAACAACTTCAACAGAACCTTGGAGGATGTCGACCCAGAGTCACCATCCTCAACTCTTCCTCCTGCAAGTATGTCCGAATGCGTTGCACCATGAACCATCCCTGAGTCCCTGTATTTTCATGAATGAGGTAAGTGACCCAATGGAAGCGCTCGACTACCAGCCCGAAGTCCGGGGGTCGCAGAAGCTCTGCGACGTCCTCGGCAGGAGGGTTTGATGTGTGATGGATGCATTGTGCTGGGCAGTAGCAACAGCAGCTCCCTTACAATCACAGAGCTTACGGCCGGTTTTCGTGGCCAAAGTCGCAAGCGATGCCGCCAAGCAGCTTCGGGATCTCTTTCCTTGGCATCCCGGCGCATGTCACACAGCCATGACCGACATCAATGAACTGTCGAACAGAACCCATCCGAGTGGTGCAAGCGGCTATGGCGGCGTCAGCTACCACCACTACACTGTGCGATTCTCACTCGGGCACTGGGCTTCTACAAGGACAAGTTGTTGAAATGTCACGACACTAATCAGCCTTCTTCCCGCGCACTCGATGACAAACATGCAAAAGAAACACCAGTAGGCTTGATTCCAAACCCAAAGCTTCACAGCACTACTTCAAAACGCGGTGATTATGCAGCCGATCGCACACCGAACCAAGACTCGACAAATCCCATTCAATCCAAAACCCCCGACTGTACAGCTCCATGGGCACGCTCCATCCGGGCTCGCTGGATAGCCGCATCCTCCCGCTTCCTGACGGTCTCGTCTTCAGGTCTGGACTGGAAACATGGGACGCTCCAGGCGAGGCAACTGAGACTCTCATCGGCTACTTCTAGCAGGTGAAATCACCCTGGGCTATCGTCCCGACGGGGTGAAATCTTCTGTATGAGTTCGACCGAAACTTTCAGCTGAGGCTCCGCTTCTGCATGTCGCTTAGTGCCGCATTGTCCTCCGCGCCCGCGCCGACAGAACTCCTGTGTCACACACTGTCAATAAGGCAGTGAAATGTTGAGTAATTTTGCAAGGTCTACAGCTTTTCTCGGATCCGAGGTGCAGGTAACGTGAGGAGTTCAAGTGCACTGCTATACTGACGTATCATCTAGACCAGTATTGAAGTTGAAATGAATAGAACAACGCACCAGATGTCCATTGGGCATTCATTGGGCTTCCTCTCTCTGTTGACATGACATCTCTCGCACGCGTGCTGGGCATAGCGAAGTGGGGCTATCCCACTTGTTGCAGCTGCTGCTGCAAAAACGAGCCTCCGCGCCGGTACGGTCATGTCCTGTGCACTAGGCACAACTTCAGGAAGGCTCAGGCTCGGGCCCTGAAAAATCCTACAATGGTGCAAGCTTGTTTCATGTGCAAGCTTGACTTGAGCACCTGCCTTGCAAGCAAAGGGAAAGGGGGACATTGACGAACTGCTACATGTCCTGGTCTGTTTGTTCGGTCAAAGCGCTGGAGGCCAGCATGGTGAGCCTGCCGTGCAG